AGAGATCAAGTTCTTTCGAAAGCCGACGCGCGAAAATTCGTAGCGTCGCGGTCGAATAAGGACGCGTAATTAATAGAGAAAGAGATAAGAAGTTGGCGGGCGAGCGAAGCATCTGTCCGTGGACGAGTGCCGGTGTAAACAGTCTCGGACGCATCGCGGCGATGCCGAAGTTCCTCGGGCGTATCGGCGTATCGGCGTATCGGCGTATCGGCGAACAGAAGCGCCTTTGTGCCCCGCGAACAATGCTCCGCCCCGGACATTCCTCTCGCTGAAACGTTCCTCTCTCTTCTTCGTACGCTCGCAACCGTCTCTTTCTCTTCCTCTCGCAGTCGGTCAATCGCTCGCTCACTCGTTTATCCACTCTCTCCCTCTCCCACTCTCGCTTCCATTTCAACCATCCCTCTCTCTTTCTCTCGCGAACGCGTTCTCGCGACCCTAGCTCGAAGAAATTAGAGCGATTCGGACGATTAGTCGAACGGACTGGTTCGAGGTCCCGTTTCGTTTCCCATTCTCCCGTACCTTTGCACCTGTGGCAGCATTCGTCCTCGCGCGGCTCCAGCAGCGTGTAGCAACCTTCGATGCTAGGGCATTGCTGTTTCCTGCATTCGACGAAACCGTTCTGCGAAGAAGAAGAAGAAGAAAGAGGAGGAAGAAGAACGAAAGGGAGGAAGAAGAAACGAAGGAGGAGAAGAAGCGAAGAAAGAAGAGACGAGCAAGAAGAGTAAGAAGAAGCAGAAGTAGAAGTAGAAGAAGCAGAAGAGTTCGTTCCGGCGGTTCGCGCGAGACGAATTTTTCGCTAAATTTCCTCTCTCGGCCGTGGCCGACTATCCGTCGAGTCGCGCCGCGGTGTAATTTTCTCTCGCCTCTTATCGCGAGCTCTATAATTAAACCTTCGGGGATTTATCTGGCGTTCGAATTACGTAAAGTAATTGAACGAGGGTCACGGGTGGTCTCGCGGCGAGAACGCGAGAAGGTCGCGCGCGCGTCTTTCTCGAAAATAACGACGATTACGGGCCGGTGAAGGAGGCGAAAGGAGGCTTCCGTTCGCGCGTTGCCCGCCAGCGAAATCGAAAGGAGCGAAGAAAACGAGCCTCGGAACGTCCTCGAGGTCGATCGAGTTCCCGTTCGTTGCCAGGATTTACGATCGCTTCGCCGTATCGTTCCTTCTCGATCCCTCTGGCGAAATAACCGGACAGAACGAGAACGCGAACGGTTCCGCGAACGTCGCGTTAACGATCGTCGTTTCGATAGCGCGACGCGTCGCGACCTTTGCGGTCGTGT